TGGCGACATGCGTATTTGGTTGTACCCAGACGACCCATCCATGAAAGACAACGCTTCGTGGCCCGTAGTGGCATCAATCATGAGTTCAGTAATGGGAAATGGAAAATCATCTTTTGGGCATGCTTCATTTAGATCTCGAAAGTCAACGCAAACTCTAACTTGGTCATTCTTCTTTCTCACAGGGACGATGCTTGAGATCCATGTGGGATACTTGACTTCTCGAATGAACCCGACCTCGATGAGTTTGTTCACTTCAACTTCAATCAATGGAACCAAATCGGGCCGAAAACGCCGTTGAGCTTGCTTAACAGGCCGTGCCCCCTTTCTCACGGACAAATTGTGCACCGCTACTTTTGGATCTAACCCAGGCATTTCTTTGTACGACCAAGCAAAGACATCTTTATATTCACGAAGCAGCTCAATATAAGTCTCTTCCTCATCGCTAGTCAAAAGTGCGCTGATATAAGTTGGTCGAGAATCATCCACGTCTCCTAAGTTGATCTCTTTCAACTCATCAATCGTAGCCTTAACTCCTTCTTCAAGCTCAGCAGGGGCATCCTCCGCGTCTTCTTCATTTTCTTGGGCATCTTCACATATGGTGATATGGTTTACATATGCAACATCTTTAGCAGGGTCGTCAAGACTCTTGAAATCAACACATGTTCTAACTCGTCCGTCTCTTCTAACGACACGAGCTAAACGCAAATTGTCTTCGTTAATACACCCTTTTCTCACCAATGCGGCGATTCTTCGATGCAAGATGCCTTCAGCACTTCGAGGATTTTCTCTTGGGACAAGACTACTCACTTGATTAGATGAGGCGACGCTTTCTCCATCACTTTCTTCTTCATCTCTTACTCTCGTGTGCACGATCGTTCGCATCTTCTCCTTCAAGACATTACCACATGAAACAATCAATGTGGTTTGTCTCTTCATTCGTGATGGTATCGAGCTTCGAATCTTGGGGAACTTTCTTTCTATCTTCCCGTTTCTTACCATCCTTTGAATACCAAGTCTTTGATGACTAGTTCTTTTGGACTCTAACTCTTGAATGGGTCCGAGTCTTTCAAATACCGATCTTCTTTCTCCATTCTTCAAGTGATCAGTGGATGAAAATCCTTCTTCGGACACATGATTAGAATTCACTCGTTTTATAGCTATCCGAACTGGATTTGGTGCTACAAATCCGAGACCAACTCTAGTTTTTGAAACTCCAGCATCCTTCTTTTGAGTTTTTGCTGCTTGGGGAAGAAGTGTTCCCAAAGTACTCACTTCTTTTGGATCGTATCCAGATTTGACAAGAAGTTTATAAGCTTTTGGGTCATAATGCTTAGAATTTTGGAGCTCTTCTCCGTGTTCCGTCTTAGCTCCATCAACCGGACGAACAAACTTTCCTAGGGGTTGCGTGGTTGGTTTCTTGGTATCGAGGTTAGGTAATGGCAACACCAGTCCATCAAGAGGGTCGTTCCCAACGAGATTCTTGGTTTTCTTCTCTTTGACATCACTTGGTTGTTTGATGGGGGTTTCTTTATTGCGAGCAGACTTGGTAGTAGTACTTGGCGTCGACGAAATAAGACTCGACTTCAGTAAAAGGCTTATCATCTCCAAGAACTTTTCTTACTACACCATCTTGGTAGTATTTAAAACATTGATGCCAGGTAGAAGGCACAACTCCATATTCATGCAACCAAGGACGTCCCAACAACATATTATAAGAGGTTTTGGCATCTATCACATGAAAAAGAGCATTTGAAGTCATCTCCCCGATCACTAACTTCAATCTAATTATGCCTAGAGCTCGTTGCCCCCCTTGGTTAAAGCCTTGAATCATCAAACGACTATTTGAGAGTTCATCCATCGCGACCTCCAGAACCTCCATCTATCAATATGCGATTCACCCTTTTCTCACGAGTGTAACCAGTTACGAATAAAGGCCTATTATGGGGTTTTGATCCCAAAATCAAGTCTTCATCCGTGAAGGTGACTGCCGCATCATTGTCTTCATGATCACATGGTTCTTTGTCATCAGTTGACTCATCATCACTTGGAACATCATCTTGCTCGCTTGTCACATTACAAGCGAAACTTTCATATCCCTCATCGCAGTTCACTATTGAAGCAAAGTTCGCAGTGCCTTTGTCTTCTTCAAGCGATATCTTGCCTTGTCGTGCGAACTGCATAACTCTATCTTTGAAGACAAATCAATCTTCGATGGAGTGACTTACCAAACGATGATACTTGCAGTATTTTGGGTTGTCAACTTGTCCTGCTTCTTCAGGTCGTTTCATCTCCGGCAGTTCGATAAGTTGTTCTCGAATCAAGTCGTCAAAAATTCCAGAAACATCAGAGTCAAGGAAAGGATATTGTTTGGCTTGCATCTCCTTCAAGGTTAACTTTCTCTGCCCCCTGTCTTGAGGGACTTCTTTCTTTTCCACAACTTTGTCACTTGTGTTTCCCTTGAGTTTGATGGGTCTTGCATTGACCGCCATTGCTTCCTTCACCTCTTTGTTAGGTGCTTTAGAGGAAAACTTGCCCCCTTTCTTGGCTTCATTTCGGTCCTTGAATCTTTGAGGCTCATGGACAGATGGATTCTTGACTCCACTTGCAGACATGCTTAACTCCATATCATGTGCGCGAGTGGCCAACTCTTCAAAGGACTTTGGTTGAATTCCTTGCAGAATGTATCGGAGACCCCAATGCATCCCTTGAGTATACATTTCAATAGCCGAAGCTTCAGACAATCGATCCTTGCAATTGAGGCTTAAATTTCTCCATCGATTGATGTAGTCAATAACAGGCTCTTCATCCCACTGCTTTGTAGAAGTGAGCTCAATCATGCTGACCGTCCTTCGTGTGCTATAGAAACGATTGAGAAACTCTTGCTCTAGTTGCTCCCAGCTATCAATAGAATTTGCATCCAAGTCGGTGTACCACTCGAATGCATTTCCCTTTAGTGGTCGAACAAACTGCTTCACCAAACGATCTCCATATGTTCCAGCATCATTGCAAGTCTCAATGAAGTGAGCTATGTGCTGCTTCGGGCTTCCTTTACCATCAAACTGTTGGAATTTTGGCGATTGATATCCAGTAGGTATCTTCAAGCTATCAATCCTTTGGGTGTATGGCTTCGAATAAGTTAAAGACGACTTGGAGCCTACATAGAATTTGTCCTTGATGGTTCCCATGATGAACTCTTTGAGTTGGTCAGTTGGTATGAGTCCACTTGCAGAAACATGGATTTCTGACGTAGTCTTCTCTTTTTCAGTTTGCTTCACCTCATCTTCTTTAGAAGTTTCTTCATCCTCATGTGTTTCATCTTGCTTGCCCCCAGCACGGCTAGTCTCAGCCTTGTCGACCTTTTCTACCAACTTTGAGATCATGGAGTCTTGATCTTGGACATGTTTCATCAATGCCTCCATTGTTTTCGCCATGGTTGCAAGTTGCTCCTCAATGGTTGATGCGTTCGTCATCATAACAAGTGCCTCCATTGAGAAAGGTGTTGATGAAACATCGTCTCTTAAATCTTCTTCTTAGTTTAAAGGCGACATGTTTCCCTCAACTTGGTGAGAATTTACTTCTAGATATACACTCTTACTTTTTGTCATGCTTTTTGTTGTGACACTAATACTTTCACTTGCAGAACTTGAAGAAGTTGACTTGGGAGGAGTCATCGTTGCACTTAAATATCTTGAAGAAAAGAGATGAGAGGTAGAGAAAGTCCCACCGGGCGTGCCAGAAATTTGTAACGCAAAATTCGTATTATTGAATTTATAAACACGAGAACTTCGTACAAATGGATTTCAACGGATCAAATGAAATATAGTGGATTCTAAATCTCTATTATTCCTCTGATTAATTTCTTCAAGAACAATCTTCAAGTGGATTTGAGACTTTTGGAGATGAATCTTCAGTTTGATCTCCGCCGGTCTTGAATTTGGATTTAAATAACGTTTCTTCGAGGGCTTGACAGCTTGATCTCGAATCAAACGTCTTGATTTCCCAAGAACGTGAAGAACACGAGTCCTTGGTCTTCGTCGCAAAGTTGATCTTCGATCATCTCTACGCCGGATTTGACTTTAATAACGTAATTCGGAGGCTTGACAGCTTGTTTCCGGATTGAACGTCGGTCTTGAGCTTGAATGCGCTTGAATCTTCCTTCGAATCTTCAAGAACGCCTTTGGATCTTCAAGAACACTTGAATCTCGTTGTGAGAATTCTCTAGAGCTCTTGAACTTGGAACTTGAAATATGAATATGAATTGTGAATATGAATTGTGATTTTCACCCTAGGGAGGGTCCCTATTTATAGGTGTTAGGAGAGAGAGTCTTGGAAAAGAAGACTTCATTTTGATTGGTCCATAATTTTCAATATTTATTTATTAAAGAGATAATTAGAAGATGGACTCTTGGAAAAGAAGACTTCAATCTGATTGGTCTATGAATATTTATCTCTTTAATAATTATTAAAAGAAATAATTATTTATTTTACTCTTCAAGAAAATGACATGTGACATTCTTTAATTGGCCTTCAAAATATACACGTGGCATTCTTTAATTGGCCAACAATATATATTAAATAATCAATTAATTAACTATTTAATTTAGGAATTAAAATTTGATTAATTTCCCAAATAAAATAGAAAATTATTAAATTGATTTTAACATGTAATTTGACACTTGTTGCCATTTTATTGGCTCAAAATTTAATTGTCTACAACTACCTAACAGAGCCACTACCTAACAAAGCCACAAACATGCACATCAATAAAACATAAAAATATCCATCACAATATAGAAACAACTACATGACTGTTTCTTGTAGCTGCTCATTTTATTTGACCCAACATAAATTTTACCAGGTACGGGTGTTATTAAAAAGAAAAAAAAAAGAAAAAAAAAACAACTCAACACATTTAAGCTCATAAAACCCCAAAAGTTATTTGTTGGAAATAAAAGATAAACTCTTAAAGTCATTGAAACACAAAAATCATTCAGCCTCCTTCAACTGTCATCTTGCTCGTCCTTTTTCTGTTCATCGGTAAATTCATTTTCGTCGTTTTTCTCTTTCTCGGTTACTTCATCTTCGCCCTACAAATATCGAAAGCAACCAATCATTTTTAAATAGAAAACTGAATAATAAATAAAATAAACAACAACTATATTCTGGAAGGAAAAAAAATAATAGTTGATATCGTTGGCAAATGATCGGTTCAAATTTAGGATTCCATATGACCATATCAATATATATGAAATGCGTTGATGAGATAAATGTTTGTCCTATTTTTGTTGCGTTTTTCGTGTTTATTTTATCTTTCTTTTTCCCCCATTTTAGGTCCTTTCTTTAGTTTTTAGTCCGTTTCATGTTTTATTATGTGTTTTCCTTCATCTTGAGTTTTTAGGTGTTTTTCATTTGTTTTTCTGGTTTTCTTTTGTGTTTTGTCGTTTTTGGTGTGTAGGTCAGGAGCTTCGAGCGAATTTTCTCTTCAAGAAAAGCTGGTTTTGAGAGCACAATTGGATAGATGGGTTTGTTAGTGACACGTAGCAAAAAACGGAACTCAATTCCGAGTTCAGATGAGCCCAAACGAGCCCAAAACGTAAAATGGCGCAGTGCAGTCCAAAGTCGCGAGTCGCGAGATAAAAGTCGCGACTCGCGAGCCTACGTCGCGACTCGCGAGAGCAAAGTCGCGACTCGCGACTTTAACAGAGCCTCCGACCAGCTGCGCGACCCCACGACCCGTCCGACTCGCGACTCGCGAGTCAACTCGCGAGTCGCGACCTGTTCGACGCTGTTTTTATTTTTTCCGTTTTTACTCGTTTTAGCTCTGTTTTTCGAGCTCTATATATGAAAACGAACCCCCAGACCTAAGGAACATTCTCCAATATCGTTCCTTTCAATTTCTCTCTCCAAAAACTCAATATTATTAGGATAAATTTCTCCACTTTTCTTTTTTTTTTTTTTTTTTT